TGTATTTTTAAATTCTGATCCACACAAAGCCTTGTGTTATGTGAGCCCTGATTGAAGATGGGAATCCTATTTGATTAACCTGTAGACTTCCTTTTGCATGATTACACACTTTTACATCTCTATTTGATCCTTCATGGTATCTATTAGTGAATGTATATAATGACCACCGTATTTTTCTATTTCTCATTAATATTGTATATATATTTTATATTTTATGGACCCCTGGTGTCTTTCTATTTCCTGGTATGAGTCTTGACGTTATTAGTTGTTTCCCCTGCTGTTTTCTGTCTAGCAGTGGCTGATCATTTGAGCTGATTGCTGCCTTTTTATTGCCCTGTCAAAGGATTTATAATCTGGAATCAAACCATTTTTTCCTGGATTTGCACTCACCTGAGGTGCATTATCAGAAGCTGCAGTGAAAAGACTTGGTGGATTTGAAATCAAACAACACAATTTGAAATATCTTGATTTTGTAAATCACAACCAGTTGGTAATCCCAAATGATTATTTGCAGATACTACATCCCTTAATCTTAATGCTGTTAAGAATAAATAATAGGTGGTAACTTTAGTGAAGCAATCTGTTTTCTTCCCTGATATTGACAGGTCTTGATTTGTCTTCACAGCTGTGGTTCAAACAACTGATGTTGAGCTTCAGGATGTTGTACACTTTCGGCTATTCCTTGTCGCTGTTTACGCTCATCACGGCTCTTATTATTCTTATGAGCTTGAGGTAAGCTGTCAAACAAGAGAAGTGATTAAAGGGTTATACATTTACAAAACAACACAAAAGATGCTAAATCAAATCTGCCTATTTTAATTTGAAGAAGCCAACAAAATCAAGATCAGAGAAGCAAGATAAATATACACATTTAATGCCCTTGATATACCAAATTTAAACGTGGGGTATTTGTATGTCTCCCGACAGGAATCTGCGTTGCACCAGGAACTACATTCATGCCAACCTCTTCCTGTCTCTCATCCTGCGAGCCGTATCGGTCATTATTAAAGACACCATGCTTGACCGCCACTGGGGAAGAGAAATCATGAAACAAACTGATGTAAAGGACATGCTCAGTGACGAGGTGGGTTTGTTGTTATTTGTTGAAGTTTAACACTTTAATGGGCGGTTTTGGCGCAGTGGTTAGAGCGTTGGTCATCAGATCAAGAGGCGTTGGTGAACTCCATTTTAAATCCCGCCTCGGCCGCCACTGCGTCAGGCCGTTGTGTCCTTGGGCAAGACACTTCACCTGTATTTGCTCCTGTGGGTAATGTCCACAGTAATGACTCTTACATGTCTAATATGTGTAATGTGTAATTGTAAAGCGCTTTGAGCACCTGTAAAAGCGCTCTAATAAAAAATGTAATGCATTATTATTATTTATTATTAAACATTAGCCTTTTGTAACTTGTATGTGTTATTTCCATCCCTTTTAGGCTGCTATTGGCTGCAGGATAGCTCAGGTAGTGATGCAGTACTGTGTCCTGGCCAATCACTATTGGTTCTTTGGAGAGGCCATTTATTTGTACTCTGTGCTTATTGCCTCAGTGTTCATCGACAACAACAAATACTTTCCTTACATCTGTCTTGGCTGGGGTAAGTACCTTCTCTGGGATTCATTACCTTTATTTCTAATATTGCAAAACATCATATTATATATACAGTATATCAGGTTGATACCATATCCATGCCAGATTTCAACAAATGTTTTAGTATGTTTACTTATCAAACCAAAAAGCACCCACACTGAACCCTGCAATATTTTCTGATTTTGTCGCAGGAACTCCACTTCTTTTTGTGGTTCCATGGGTGGTGATGAAGCAATTGAAAGAAAACAAAGAGTAAGAGTGTGTGCAGGTGGTTGCCCTGTTTCCATCTGTTCATCATTACATTTATGCTTTCACAGATCCATATTAGAGAGCAGAGAAATTGTAACAGCTGCGTCTTTTCTCGTCTCAGGTGTTGGGCTGTCAATTCCAACATGAACTACTGGTGGATCATACGTTTCCCCATCCTTCTTGTTTCACTAGTGAGTCATCATCTGACATCTGTATAATATGAATGTCTACACAGAACATAGTAATTAACATTACGATTTTCAACAGATCAACTTTCTGATTTTCATCAAGATCTTGAAAGTCGTTCTTTCAAAATTACGAGCCAGCAGCCAAAGCAGATTTGCGGATTACAAACTCAGGCAAGTTGTCTTAGCTTTTTTCAATGTCGACGATACATTTCATATTTTCAACTCTTAACATTCTCGCTGTTACAGCATGTCACAACATCAAATGTTGACAAGAAGCATTGTGATGGTTTTATTGCTCTGCTGTTTGTTCTGTCCTGTTAGGCTTGCCAAGGCAACACTCACCCTCATCCCTCTGTTTGGCGTTCATGAGGTTATTTTCATCTTTGCAACAGATGAGCAGACATCAGGTGTTCTGCGATACATTAAAATCTTCTTCACCCTTTTTCTCAATTCATTTCAGGTAGGTTTAATTCAATCAGAGAGAGATGCTTTCTTTGCCAATATATCAAAAATAATGTCTGTTGTGTTCCTGCATAGCAAACTTAATAAACAGGACTTTTCTGTGGTTCCTCTGCAGGGCTTTCTGGTGGCTGTGCTTTACTGCTATGCCAATAAAGAGGTTTGTTGTTTCATCTCATACTCACATTTTCCATACCATACATAGAAGGTTCTCGATGTCACATTATCTGAAATACATATATTAATCTATATGGAAAATGTGTGAAAAAGTATGTCTTAAATCATATTAAAACATTGTTAATAATCCTGATAATGGGGAGATCTTTATTGAGAAACCCATCTAGAAGGAAAAGCGTGTATTTGATTTTATAAATACCGTGATAAATTACTTAATTTTTCAAGTATGGACTGGAAAATGTCATAAAATGTTACACCAAATAGTACAGTCACTCTGAAATGGATTGTATTAATAGCATAATCAATACTATTGTGAATGGTATTTGAAATGGCTCACCTCCCCTTTGTTTGCAGGTTAGGGCAGAGCTGAAGAGGAAGTTTCGCAGCTGGAGGATAGAAGCTGAGGTTGTTTGCTGTGGACAGTGACTAGCTGTTTTTGGCTCTCGTGTGGAAACGTTCTCCAACGCCAAAGTGACAGAGCGCAACAGATCCTCCGTAACGACCACAAGAGCAATGACTGATGGCTCACCGACTCCTGAGAGTTCACTTCTTTCTAGACGCCAACTTCAACCAACTTCACCACAGCCTAAAGCTTCTTTGCTGCAGAATCCATCAGTGGTGAATCGAGACAATTCTATGCGGCATTTGGACCAGGAGGACATTGGGCAATTGTCAGTGGCAATGCAGGTGTCCTTCCTCATTCACCTTCAAGACCCTGTGGAGTCACTCCCAAATGCTGTAAATATGGACTCAGATTGAATATGTTTTGGCATTGACTGTACATTTTAAGATGATATTTGGTCTGTTGTGACTTGTGAATACTTAAAATTGTGAATAAGTAATTGTTATATGAGTTGTACAATTGTGAACAAGTGATTGTGATTATTTAAGACTTTACTATCTTTCATACAAATGGAGTATAGAAATTAAACGTATATTTGTTTACACTAAATTGTTTAATATGTGATTGAATATGTAGCCCCTGTAGGTCACTGTGTAACCGGTGTCGTTAAGCGGTCTCTGCGTTGTGTTTTGCGTTGTTCATGGATGACCCGAGCCAGCATACAGCTTTGACAATCTCCGTTTTATTACTGACAATCTGACAACAGATATAATGATCAGTTTTACATTAGGTTTCCCTCACAGTGACTCTTCTCACGTGGAACATTTACAAAAAGGGAAAATCCAGTCTCTGATTGTGTTACGTTATTATGAGAGTGCTCTCATACTTGTTTGATTCTGAAATTGTATATTTATATAAATATATGTTTGTGTGTATGTCCGCATCTGTAGCCTGTTATTGTCTCATTATACCGCACTGTGAATGAATTCAAAGTAAATATATAAGTCGTCATGAACACATCTGTCCATCAGACAGAGTGCTGCTGTGCCTCCTGTCATCATTAATGGACATCTCTTTAAAATGACCGCTCAGAAGAGACGATTTCTAATTTCTCTAAATGCCTGCTGCTTCCACTCCTCTCTCTTCGGTTCCCCTCCTTGACTCCTCCACTCGCATCTCCTGTGGGCGGGACTAAGTCACGAGGATAGGAGTCGAGGAGGGGAAATTAGACAATTGAGAAGCCTTTAATATATAGGGGGGGGAAGTCCTCACAACAATAATGTCCTGAGCACAGCGACCACACTTCAGAGGTTCCGTCCACTGATCTCCTTGTCAGGTATTGAACATTCAATAAAAAGAAGAACACAGAATTATTTAATATAAAACACAGAATTTGTGTTTTCATACAAAATGATTTACAAATAAACTCCACTGCATATTTACAACTGTTAGCCTACAACTGGATAAGATATATATGTTGAATGAACAGAATTATAGCATTATAGTAATCAGAAACAGTGTCTTGAAAAAGGTTATAAATGTCAAACTTTAAGTCAATCTACACCTGCACTGTCTTCTTTATAACAAATATTGGGTTAGCCTTTTTGCTTTCATATTACAAAAAACAGTGGTGTAAAGTTAATAAGTACATTTACTCAAGTAAAATGTATAATTTTGAGAGACTTCTTCTTTACTTCAGGATTTATTTATTTGTGCTACTGTACTTCTACCCGACTACAATTCAGGGATAATGGTGTACTTTACTTTTTAACACATTAATAAGACCAGTTAGATCGGGTAACTTGCACAAGCTACCCTACAGCACTTTTATTTAAGTACAACATCTGAATATTTCTCCAACCTATGCTAAAATAACACAGTTTCTTCCTGAATTTCTTTTTTGCTCTGTGAACTCCATTACCCAGAAGCACCAGGAAAAGCAACGTACTTACGTCATGAACGTCGTGCTGTCGTTGGCAACGGCGGAGGCTGGAGCGGGAAGGATACAACTCTAGCAGTTGTCAAATCAAAACTGTTGTTCACTCGCTTCCCGGGAGAACTGGGAAAGGTCTCTTATCTCAAAAGTGATGTGAAACTAAATGTGTTATCATAGTTCTTCACTGTGGCATTCTGATAAGGAGCTTTACTGTTCATTTAGCTGTCTGTTTGCTAGCTAACCTCTCTAAAGCCCCACTAGCTGCTCGTGTTGACAGCTGCAGACACTGAGACATCAACAACTCCTGTTTGAAGCATTGTGTATCAATGGCCTCCAAAGGTAAAATTAACCTTTTTAATTAAAGTCTTGTCCTGTTCACTTGTTAACTTATAACGCAAATAGTATACGTTGCTAACTTATAATGTCAATAGTTTACATTTGTTACTTATGAGTTGGCCTATCAATGACATACATTGACTTCAATTCTCAATGTTAATCTGTATATTAATGTTGATATTCCATAGAGATACTCTAGGTATACATATTTCACTGTTGATATATACATATGTACTGTTCTTTTTTGTTTATGTATTACTGTTAATACATGTATATCTGCTGTTTTTAGTGTATTTTGTATTTCATTTAATGTTGAGTTCATGTGCAATGCTGCTGTGACAACATCATTTCAAAAACTGGGATCAATAAAAGTATATATTATCTTATCTTATCATACAACCAATATTGTAAGACAACTTGATAGTTTAATGCTGTTATTCACCTTGTTTTGACTTCCCAGGTTGGCAGCATCCTTATGTCAACATATTCAAACATGTCAGGGTTGAAGACTGGAAACGGTCGGCCAAAGAGGGGGAAGTGTCAACATGCACGGTAACCTTGCTGCACACTAATGTTGTACTTATGATATTTAAAGTTATACTTCACCCCCAAACTATCTTTTGTATACCAATCACTCACTGCTGTAGGATTGATAAGTGACTGTTAAAAGTGTAGATTTGTCTATGGTAACTATGGTAGCTTCGCATGAATTTCATTTCAGCTAGCGACAGGTTTTCACACGGGATAGAAAACCCTCAATACCATTTTTTTTCAAATCCTGCAGCATAGTTCCATTTTCTGTACGCTCAGTATGTAGAAAAAGTTATATTTATGCTTTTCATCCAATGACAGACAATTGACAGATTGATTTGGTTTTCTGAGAAGAAGAATTAACTTTATGTCCTTGATAAATCTCCTAGGACAAGCGCCTGAAGTGCTCAGTGTTCAGGATCAGAGGTCCTGTTCCTGCCAACAGCTTCATCATGATACCCAAAAACATCAACCAGTCTCTGGGGCTGACCGGTCGCTTCTTCTACCTTCTATTCAGGCCCACCCCCGGAAAATACTTTGTGGTCCACCTGGATGTTTCTGCCGAGGTATCGGATCAGATTTCATTGATATGTTTGTGCTACAGTATCTTAACGATATTTCATTTTTTTTAAAGGTCCCATGTCATGCTTTTCCGGTTATTACCCGTCCCCTTGTGTGTTATGAAGGTTTCAGCGTAGATTCTGGTACTTTAAATCATGTCACACTGTTGGATATAATTAGCTCTCACAGTGGGAGATTTTCATTGGTTTTACATAACTCTTAAAAATAAAACCACAGCAATTTGCTTAGTTGCAAAATATTCAACAACTATCTACTATAAATGCCGCTATGGTGTATGTGAAGATTTAATTGATTTTAAAATAAATACATTTTCTTTCTCTTTCTCTTTCTCTCTTGTGCTTTGATGTGTAGGAGGGCCAAGTGGTCCGTATCTCTTTTTCCAACATGTTCAAAGAATTTAAATCCACGGCTACCTGGCTTCAGTTTCCTTTCTTGTGCGGAGCTGCAAAGGATTCAGTCTATGAAAGCACAGCTAAATCTGCAAGACATGGTAAGATACAAGAACAGCCATACTCATCTAGATATGATCCATTTGTTGCATGCCTTTGCTGATAGTTTGCTGTATTTTGTATATAAATGTAAATAATCTTGCAATATTTGTGTTTCTGTGGTCCAGGCTTAGTGGGTCCTGCTCCCACGTCAGTGCGTTGGACCTGTCTGACGCTGGATCTGCAGTACACTCTCTCTGTCTACCTCAACGGCTGCTACAGTCAACTCAAGAGCATTAAGCTTTGTGCCAACATGGCAGTGAAAAACATGTTCACCAGCAACCTGCTGCTAGATCCAGGTGGGACTAAGATGGCATAGATATTAACAGTATTATTATATCCTCTTTGTTTATAGTTGTGTATATCCCTGGTGGTTTTATACAAGTAAGCAAGATGATGTCATGTGAAAAAAAAGACAAATGCTGTTCTCTAAAAAGCACTCTAATATAAAGAAATGGTGTTGATCTTAAACCCATTGCTTATTCAAACCATTTCATTAAATAATCTTAATTAGCAAACAACATTGATAACCAAGAATATTTAGAGCACACTTCAAATCCTTTAAGTGGAAACAAAATCTTCTCATACCCATCATTCTGCCCACTGATACAACATGTGCATTATTATTATTATTAATAATGTTCTATAATAACGTGCAATCACGTATCTGCCACTACGTTTTTTTGCACTACTAAATACTGCTTGTCAATGTACAGTATTTTACATTAATTATGTGACCGTCTATGTTTCCTGTAGGTATTTAATTTCTATTTTTACTGCACTGTTAGTGTACCGTTTTATTATTATGCTGCTGTGTTTATTGTATTTTTGTAACTCTGGCACAACAATTTCCTTCGGGATAAATAAAGTCCTATCTTATCTTATTCCTCATTAAACTGCAACCTCAGATCTGTAGATAGTGTCCTCTTAGTGACTCACGTATCCCATCTTTACTCAACAGGTCTTTCCTTCAGTGAAGCCAAGCTGATGGGTCTGGTTTCTTCCGAGGGAACGGGTCCCGTCCCCAGAGACATGTCATTTCCTGTTCCCAAAGGAGGCTCCTGGCACGACCTCTACGATCACATCAGGTATGGTAACCTCACCTGGAAACTCAATGTACATCGCTGATATTATTCTAAAAGCAGAATCTACCCTGAACTCCTTTTTGTCGTTTTTGGGGCCGTGATGTTTGGTAGTTTATTTTGAAATAGTTATAATCCCTGTTGAATGTCACTGATGTTAACAAAACAAAGAATAGTCCTGACTCTTCAAATGCCAATGTATTTAATTTCTTCTCCAGACTGGTGACAACATATTGGGCTCTCTAGTCAGCGTGCTGCGCTGGTTGTTTTTTGTATTTTTTGTTGATGTTGTCTTGTTCTCTGAGTGTATTGGCTGATCAAAAACCTTTAAGGTGCCACCTACAGTGTGTATATGCTGTGCTTGTTAAGTCAATGAAAGCAATTTGGCTTTGTATTATCAACCAAATATTCATCAGCTATAATTTCATTACCAGAATAAAAACATAACAATACAAACTTCCCATTATTGGCTATTTATGAATTTGGGAAACTGCAGCTGCTGCTTTCGTCACAGTTTACATCTATTTCGTCTCTCATCTGATCTCATCCTTCCTCGACAGGTTTCCCTCAGGGGGAACGAAGCTACCCTTTGACTCCATTCAAAAAGACCCTCCCAGGCCCGAGGCTAGTGAGTCATGAACTATCACACTTCTCAACATTCATACAGTATTTAAAGCTTTTTACTGTCTTTGCATGCCATAGTCTCGGCATTTTGATTCAAACTTAAAATGTGCATGTCCTCTCACAGGAATTTCTTGTAGCTGTGGTACTGCATGTTCTCTCTTCCCCAGGTTGTGTCTCTGACCAAAGAAGACCAATTAGAGAGGAGCCTTGCTTTGTCAGCCTCAGCAAACCCGTTCAGGACCGAGTGTCCCTCATCCAGCAGATCACCGCTCCAAAATCAGTAAGACTTAAGTGGGGTTGCACAATTAATCAACATTTTATCAAATCGCAATATGTGCTTCTTAGTGCAAGTTATGGCTCACCAACCTTAAATGTTAACACAGAGAGAGATCAATAAAACAAAAACACAAATATGGTTGAGATTAATTATTATTCAGTTTCGCAACAAACAAATAATAATGGGGAAACGTTTACCTTGCTTCACAGCAACCAATCGCAGAAATGCCCCCAGAGTAGAAGTTTCACATAGCCATATATAGCTTCTAAATGACGCACACACATGAGAACAACATGCAGCCCACCACACAAACATCCTTATCACATGTATGTTCCAGATGTCGAAAGGTCATTATCTCATGACGTCTTTAGGAGTCTTGAAGGATATTGAACCTACCCAACTAACAACACTTAACTCAATTATATCTGAGGAAGACCTCTCCTGCTCTTCTGCTGACCCTAATAATTACGGAAGAGGCGATGGGTCCTCTTCTCTGGAATCCCAACTCAAATATACATTTGTCTAACCATGTGACTAGGCATAAGACTGATATGACAAGACGATGGGGCCTCTCTGACCTATGCATAACTTTAAATGAATACATCTATTGATAATTCAAAGACCATGGATAAGTAGCAAAGAGACTCATAAGCCTCTCTAACTCTGCAGACGGAAATTCAATAACACACATTATAGCTTACCATGTGACCTTACTGAATAAGCCAGAAATACGCTGTAATAAGGATTCTGCCATAACATGCTTGTGCAATGTTCTTCACTTTGAATTAAGTAGAATCACAATAATCCTTGAATACGTTTATGTTATGATTACAAAATAATCAGTCCCTCCAATATTGTGAACCATATTGCAATTGCAAAAGCAGTCAGAATATTTGAAATTAATCAATTTTTTTACAAATCATGCAGCTGTTGGGTTCAGAATTCCAGAAAAGACAGACAACTTCTAAGTTTAACTATTTATTGTAAAGAGAGCAAAAGATATATATTACTTGGCCAAGGACTCATCACGTCTTTGGGAATCACAGGCAGCAAAGCTGTAATCTGTAACCACCAATATCCGTCAAGAGCCTCGAACCTCGTGCGACAATACATTTTATGATTGGTCAAGACTAGCTGAAGAGATATACCGCGGATTAGACTTGGTTCTCTTTGGTGGTGCGCAGACTCAGATAGAGTCTCTTGGGCAACACGATCCTCCCAATCAGCATTCGGCCGGCCTGTGGAGAGTCCCTCCCTACTCTGGCACCATCATACTCATTTGTTTTCTCTAACGTCTCTTTCAGATATAGGCGGGAAACATATGTGTTGCTTCCCTAGCTTTTGGGGGAAGCGCGGCTCCCATACCGAAGTCAATGGCCGGTGGCGATGTGCTGTTCTGACTACCTCTTTGTGTTTTCTCAGTCTCTGCAACTCGACCCTTGCTACTTTCAAATATTGCAAGCTAAACACTTTCTCATGTAACTTTTCCCTTCGTTCCTCACAACCACATAAAATGAGGCACTATAAGCTTATAATGTAATAATAAGAATCATTCTTTCTAATGTTATATAAAAATTAGGGATGCACCGAATACTTCGGCCGCCGAAAACTATCGGCCGAAAATGGTTAAAAGTTCTTGCACCGAAAAAATATCACCGAATGTCAGAGAACAGGGTTACGTTGGTAAACTAACGTGTATTGTTGTGATGACGTAAATCAAAACGCGGCGACAAGGCACGGCGCGTGACCATGCTCGCGGCTGGCTCACAGCCAACATGTCTGCCGGCTTGGAGATATTTAAAAATATCAGAGAAAGAGGCGGCGGATTGCGATTTGTAAACGTGTTCGCAGCTGACATTTCTCGAGGGGGTGTAACTGCAAAGACTTTTCACCACTTCGGGATAACTCCACCACTTGAAATCAAAACACCCCGGAACAAATATGCGGAGTAAGATCAAATCACAAGCACTGACAGCGAGAGACTGTTCAGCGCTGCCCTCATGTTGCTTGATTGATGAGAAGAGGAACAGACTTATGGCTGATAAAGCAGAGAAGCTAATGTTCATTAAAAGAACCTCCCACTTTTCCTTAATAAGTAGACGAGGCTGGTTTATCATAAGTTTATCTAGTTCTAGACGTCTACTCTATACCCACTTTCCTGAACAATTTTCAATTGTGAGTTATAATTCACCATCTCCAGGTTATCATTAGGGAGAAATGACAGCAGCACAGTGTTCACATATTGTACCTTTCGGTAATTCTAAATGATACAATGTTTGTTTACATTGCTCATGAGGACAGACCACCTTATTTGCAGATTCTTGAAATTGTAATTTAATTTGTAATTGATTGGGGATTTTATCCAGTTTTTACTTTATGTATCTTTATACCATGTTTACTACTTTGCTTATGAGGACAGACAGCCTTATTTACAGATTCCTTGAAATTCAATTGTAATTTCATTTGTAAATAGTTACATTCATGTG